GGGGTTAGGGTGTGCCCTATAGCAGCGAAAGGGAGCACAGTAACTAGGTCAAGCACTTGATTTTGATCTCATTGGCACCAGTGAATGGAGCTAATCACTGATGTTCAATCAGTCGGACAATAGTAACTAAAAAAAAATAATAAAAGTAAGCCAATCTGATTAAAACAAATAGGCTTTATGTTGTTAAATTCTCCCTTGTTTTGCTGATCCCTGTCACACTTGGGATTGTGACTACCTCAAACTGAACCGGGAAGTCTGCAGGTTTGACCACATCAATTATTCATTCAAAGACAGGCAACAGATCCTGAGGCTAAACTTGGCATTCTCAGCTAACCACAATTGGGCCTCTAAAATGAAGTTGATTTTCTACCGTTAAATCCTAGAAACATTCTAGGAATCTCAAGAATCCTTTGGTTTCTGCTGTTCTCAGTCATTGTCTTGATCCAAACAACCACCCAACCAACCTTTTAGGATGGTTTATTGGATGGTGATCAACGCAGGAAGAGAAAGCGGCAAGTGGGAAGTTTAGGCAACGTGTGCACTATGCTTTGTCTCCACCCTACTAAACTCAGGCATCCTGGGGGCGATGTAGGGTAGGCATTTTGCTGCTAGCTGCAAGGTCAGTGGTTCAAGCCCACCAGCCGCTCCCTGGGAGAAAGCAGAGACTGTCTGCTCCTGTAGAAACTTACAGCCTTGGAAACCCTGCACAAGGCCACTGTGAGTCTGTATGGGGTTAGGATTTACAGTAACATCAGCCTGGTTTAGCCCTTGTGGCACTTTTCTATTTTACTGTCTGCCAGTACTTTCCCCAGCTACTCAGATCCAAGTGATCCTGGCATACCTTGTATTAAAGCTGAGACATGGCCAGTAAGTTATACGACCAAATATTTTTCTTTATCACCTGCAAGTCTGACAGTAGAGTCGTGGAACTACTTTTATATTAATATTTATTTCCGCTGTGTGCCTTAACAGGCACCACCACCTAATAAAGAAGCGGGGGCTCAAAGCTCTGCTTCAACAGGATTAAAGATTGAGGTCAGCTCTCAGGATTCCACAACATTCTTCAACTACCTTTTCTCCATAACGTGTTAGATCTCAGAGGCTAGATCATATCTCATGTCATATCATATTCTTAAGCAAGTAGGAGACTATAATAGGAGTATGGAACATTGAAGTTTTAAACAGCAAGTTTCAAGTCAGTGCTCCTAAAAGAAAAGAAATTGTCTAAGGAAGGTTTAACAGTCTTCAGTGTCCCGATGTTTAATTTAAGATAAACGTATTGCGAGTTTATGCCTTTAACATTGAGCAAGATGCTGAGGTATCGTATTTACAAATATCCATATTAATGTCATTGTTTATGGGGTGTCTCTTACGTGGCAGACCTCTTGCTTAATTGCTTTGTGCATATAATTTTGAATCTTCACAGCACTCTTCTAAGTTAGGTTTTGCTAGCCCACTTTACAGGGAAAACACGCAGACCCGGAATGGCATCACGCTGTGCCCACCATCCTAGAGTTGCTGTCGCTTGTGGTTGGTAGGTGCTGTGGCGTTGGTTCTGACTCGCAGGGACCTGGTACAGCCCTCTGTGCCACGGAACCAAACACCGCTCATCCTGTGTCCTCCTCATGGTTTGTTAGGTTGGAGCCCATTTTTGCAATCCATCTCACCCAGGGTCTTCCCCCCTTTTCACTGCCTCTCTACTCAACTAAGCCTGAGGACTACAAAGAAGGAATAGACTTTGCGGGGCTTAGCCCCCAAAAACCTCACGAATAGCCGCAGAACTTGGTCACAGAGCGGGCAGAGGTGAATTTAAATGTGCCATTTCTACTCTTACCAGGTGAGCACCTCTGGAGAAAGAGTGGTCATCCCCAGAACTCAAGGACAATCAGCCAAATGGGTTCTAGAGTTCATAGAGCATCTTTGATAGACGTTTAAATTGTTTTAGCTTTCTCCACTGCTGCTGTTTCCCACCTCAGCTTAGAAGGATGCTTTATTAGGCCAGAGACTTCTGTGATCCCTTCTGAATCTTCAGTATCTGGAACACAGCCTGACCTGCTACATAGGGAATGCTCAATCATTAATTGTTGATTGAATGAATGAAAATCATGGTAGGTTGCACTGGCAGTTAAACACACACACACACACACACACACACACACACACACACACACACACACACACACACACACACCCTTCCTTATTTATGCTTGTGATAGCTAATAGATTGGTAATTTGTCCAATCACAATGTAATTGGAAGGTCAGTATGTGATAGACATACCATGTGATGCAATTTGAAGCTAGCTAAATACATGTTTTTATCTCACCGTTAATTGATTGCAGCTCCTTGAAATCAAGACTCTATGACAGTGAAACCAGCTCATTGAGATAATGGGCACACTAATGACACAGAAGTGGTCATTATCTAGAGTAGTGCTTTGATAGCATGGGGACTGAGTGCTGCCATATGTAGCACGGACTCAAGACATCTGTTCATCTTGACAGTTAAACTGAGCGGCCTTGGTGGGGAGTGGGACTGGGGCAGGAATTCCATTGCTCCGTTGAAGCTGTCTGATTTTAAGCAACACTGTTGTCTATTCCAGAGGAGGTAGTCAGGTTTGTCATACTTTTGTTCTTAATGATATGCTAGGTGCTGCTGTGCCCTAATGGCTTGTGTAGTAACGTGTACGTTTGTGGGGGATGCAGCCATGTCTCCCACTCGCTGGGTCCCTCTCAGAGGCTGACTCCTCACAGCAGAGTGGATGGCTTCTGCCTGGTGTCGTCACTCACTGACTGGACTCTGGGGTCTTTTCGGAATGGTGGGACTGCTGTTAATTAAGGGCAGAATTCTCTGTCTATACAGTGCCGAGCAAAACGACTAATTACACTTCATAAAGTTGTACTTCTTCTGGATGGGCTAGCAGATCAAGGACTTCAAGAACGTGATGGGAACAAGTAGGAAAGGTGCAAAGCTCAGTGGTCTTCCAGAAGGAGGTTTTAAGATGGGCTGAGGAGGACAGCAGGATGTCTAAGACAGGCTTTGGGGAGGAGTGATGAGTGTGGATTCAGGGAGAATTCTCTTTAGAATGTTAGTTTGTTTTAAAAATAGGATATTGTGATAAGAGCTGTAAGAGTTCCCAATAAAACAAAAATTAGAAAAAAGAATACTCACAAGGGACCCAGGGGTGGGGGAAAGGATAGGCATACTGTTAGGAACTTTGGTGGTGCAGGAGTTAAGCACGAATCCAAAGATTGGTAGTTCCGTTACCACTGACTCCACCATCAGGCACCTGGGAATCTGCATCCCTACAGCTGACAGCCAGGACACCCTCCTGGACCACACTGTGAAAACTGACGGTAGTACAGTGATCAGGATTCCTTAGCAGTAAAGTTTGTTTCACCTGTAGTTAAATTTGAAGGGTTTTCCCCTTGGGTTTCTTTCTTTTCATTCTTGTCATCCGAAGCATCCCCGCCACTACCACACACTCTTTAAATTGTGTTCCAGCTCGTGGTACACATGCAGGTGTCCTGACTGCAGCATGGGGATTCACTTTGTCATGGCGGCAGCAGCTGTGGGGTCGCGCTTGACCTTGAAGTGTTCTCTGTGAGGGATGCAGTGGGTTTATATTGGTTGGCTTCTGAAAATGGTGTCTTTCCCTATTTTCTGTTCTCCCCAAAGTTGGTGTTCCCTTGCCAAAACACATAATGGCCGTTGCACGTATTTCTTTTCAAGATCTGGGATTGCTCTCTTAAACTTGAATCAAAGGAAACACCTGACTGTTCTAGGCTTTGTTTAAATGCCAGCACCTGCGTGACATGTACCTCTGTCTCCTGCCATTTTGCGTATTTCAGTCATTGCTAGATAATACTGGGCGATGTCTTTTGGCCAGCCTTCACATGGAGGGTTCTTTAAGAAACCGGGTCCTTCGTCAGACCTGCCTGGTGTAGCATGTTCGTACTTGGCTTTTCCGCATTACAAAATGTCAGTCTGGGTTAGTATTGTAGGACTGTGGTCATTTCTTAAGTACTGTTTAAGATGACTCATGAAACTGAGTTTCCTAACGTGCATAAACTTCTGATTATGTTTCCAAATGAGAACTGGCCGATGACCTCAAACTTCCTCAGCAGCACACCGTTTACAGAAGCAGAGAATCCTTTGTGTGAGCAACAGCCGCGCTGTGCCCCCCGCAACCCCCCCCTGCCCTGTTACCTTTGAGATTCTTCTAAGTCAGGATTCCACATCACTGTGAGCGCCTGTGGGGTGGGATGCTGAGTGAATGGAAAGGCTGGAGAGACCACGGCCCATCTCAAGGAGGCAGCACTGCCCGTGACCACTGCGACGGCCCGGTATTACCGAATGACCTAGAAACCAGTTTCGCCTGGGAAATCTATGTATTTATTTATTTTTAGCAGCTGTTAAATATTTGATTTTTATACATTGGCACAAATGGAAGAAAACAAGAAAGCAAATGTGCAGATCTAGCCAAACACATCCATGGCCTCAATTCAACCCGCAGTTGACTAATTTGCGGTCATTGCCCTAAGGGATAAACTTGGTCTTTTTAGAAAATAACAGCCTTAATTAAGCAGGGTATTTATTTAGATGTTGACTTGGCCTAATGGCTGAAGTATCTTATTTTAATCACTTTAACAAGAAAATACCATTTACTTATCTGTAGCACATAACACCGCTTAATTACATGTTACAACTCTGGTCTGCTATTTTGTCATTGTCCTGGGCGCAGGGCAGACATTCTCAGAAGAATGGGGAGTTTCAGGCTAACACATTTCCAGCCAAGTGTCTTAATTTTTAAGAATTCATCTTTCAAATTTCTACATAGCAGTGCTTTCAACTTGAACCTAGAAGAACCTATAAAGATAGCAACTGTAGGGTTTAGATTCTATGCCTGTATTAGTAGTTGAAGGCTTAAAAAATATTTATCCCAAATGCCCCTTGGTGACCAGGTGGTAATTTTCATATTTTCTTTTTTTTTCTTTAAAGATTTGAACATGGAATTCAATCCTTCAGACCATCCTCGGGCCAGCACAATATTCCTCAGTAAATCTCAGACGGATGGTAAGTTATATATTTATTTGTGTGTTTTTTTAAAAATCATTTTATTAGGGGCTCATACAACTCTTATCACAATCCATACATACATCAATTGTGTAAAGCGCATTTGTACATTCATTGCCCTTATTTGTGTTTCTTTTTTTTTTTTCTTCGTGTTTTTATGACTTTTTATTTGTGTTTCTTAAAGACAGTTTAAAAGACTCATGTTGGTAATTACTGTAAGTCTTGATTTCAATTTCAAGGAGAAATAACATTTCCTATAATGCCCTCTTTCCCATATTCCTACTTCCCAGCATATTGTTGGTAGCTCTTTGGGATTTTTGTTTTATCTTCTAAGGTGATGTGTTTTTAGAATCCCTTATTTGAAGCAGCTACCCTCATTTTGCCTGTCAGTGGATTATTTTTGTGTACACTTTATAATAGACATTTCTGCCTCCGAGACACACACACACACACACACACACACACACACTTTCCTTTAACAAGTGATGTTTTCATACATTCTTAAAACAGATATGTTTCTTAGTTTGGACAGCATGTGAAAGAAAGCAAAACATAGTCCTAAATAAAAGCACAATTAACTACCTCTGGGTATTATTTAGAGCCAAATGAACCAGCCCAAAAGGGAAGATGTTTTCTCTTCTGCCAAACTTGTGGTGACCAGAGAGTTCTTACAGACCCCATAATGCTTGGTGTGTGGTAGGATTTCTCCCAGGGATCCTACTCAGAATTTATTAAGCCTTTCCATCGTGTGTGTGTGTGTGTGTGTGTGTGTGTGTGTGTGTATTTTACAAGTTTCTGTGCTTTGTTTTCTTTCTTCTGGTCTACACACAATTCCTCATGGCTTTCATGAAAGCTATGTACTAGCTAGGTTTTCTCTGTAGTGTTAAAAATCTGTATTTCTCACTGCCTGCTGATCATCTTTATGTTGAAGGCCAGTGGTTCTCTGACTCAGTAGGTTCCAAATTGTACTCATTGATTCTGATGAGCTCCCTGTTTTTCCTAGCCTGCCAGGACCCTGCACCAGCAGAGGCTTTGTGTAAACCAGATCTGATTGTGCTTTGCTGCATAAACTTTTCTAATGTCATCCCAGGAGCCGTACAGTTAGATTTGAGACACCCTAGTGGACCCTTCATGGTCTGACCTCTGCCTTTCTGCTTAGTCTGCTCCCCCCTCTCCTCTTATCACACCTCTTTGTTTCAGCCAGGGAGTGCCTGATGGAGCAAACCGGGGAGGACTTGCCTGCTAACTGAGAGATGGAAAGGTCTGGTGCACATAGAAAGATGAGGTTTTATACACACTCACAAGGGGGCAGTTCTACCCTGTCCTCCACAGGGTCACCGCTATGAGTCACCATCAGCTTGGTGGCAGGGAGTTTTGAGTTTTGACAGCCACCTCAGAAGAAGATCTGCGTCCGAAAGAGCAGCCCTCAGGAACTGTGCAGCACAGTGCTACTGAGGCGCACAGCAGGGCCACCGGTGTCAGAATCACCTTGAAGGCTACTCCTCTCATATTTTATGCGCTAGCTGTACTGAATCGATGGCAGTTCTGCAAATGTGCCACACGAACTCACACGCCTTTACATATTGGAACTTTCTCTTCCATCTTCCACGAAGCAATGAGATCCCCCCTCAATTTTCAGGGTGCATTTCTACCGTCACTTCTTCCTTGAAAAGTCCCCTTGACCCCTCTGGCTGACTAAGTGGGTCTCTGTGAGCTCCTTGTGTCTGCTGCTTTTCAGTCAGAACCAGATGGAGGCATTTAAAACTGTCCCTGCCTCCTCTAGATCAAAAGGGGAAACTGAAACCACACCAACCTCACTTCCATTGGGTCGGTTCCTACCCAAAGCCACTCTGGCTAGGGCAGGGGTCCTCACACTATGGCCCGCGGGCCACATGCAGCCCTCTGAGGACATTTATCCGGCCCGCCGGGTGCTTTTGCCCCATGTTTTTTTTTCTTTTACTTCAAAATAAGATATGTGCAGTGTGCCTAGGAATTTGTTCATAGTTTTTTTAAACTATAGTCCGGCCCTCCAATGGTCTGAGGGACAGTGAACTGGCCCCCGGTTTAAAAAGTTTGAGGACCCTGCTCTAGGGTTTCTGAGGCTGTCAGTCTTCCCTGCAGTGGCAGCCTCATCTGGTTCTGCAGAGCTGCTGCTCTGTTTGAACCACCAGTTAGCGGCTCAGTGCTTGCTTGAGAGCACGGCTAGGGTGTTCCTGGAGGGACAGGAACCGCAAATACCGGACCTCAATGTCCTCGGGGAAATGTTACTGACGGACTGTGCTCATCCTTCACGCAGGTAAAACTGTCTTCACTGCATTGGTTCCATGTGCTTCTGAGCGGTTCAGCCCCTCCTCACCCCTGTCCCCCCTCTCAATTGGGAGAAATGTTATAAACTGAGACTGTGAACCACATGGGGCCTTTTAGATGGATTTCTTTTGAATCTTTGAATCTCTTCTCTTGGGTTGATGTTGTCAGTCGTTTAGAAGGGGTTTGTGGTTGTAAGACCATTGTTGGAGTAATGACCATTACATCAGGTTAGCTACTGCCTGGTTCCATGACCAGGTAACCCTTTTGTCTTTTCTGGTCTCCCTCCTCTGCAGACCCCATATCCTCTCCCCTTCCTGCATTCTCTCCATAGTCACACACACACACACACACACACACGCGCGCGCGCGCGCGCGCGCGCGCGCGCGCCCTGTGCCATGCACTGCCCTGTCAACTATTGATGACGTTGCTTTAGATGGTATTGTTTTAAGTCAGAAGGAGTCTCAGTGGAACTACTGGATAGACATTGGGCTTCTAACTATAGTGTCAACAGTTCAAACCCATCAGCTGCTACTAGAAAGAAAGAGAGGCTATTCCTGTAAAGATTCACTTTGAGTTGAAATTGACTTCATGGCCTTGAGTTTGGTAGTTGCTTTTGGTTGTAAGTCATAGTAAGTTTCTTGACTGTTTTTAACTCCCTTACCCTTTGGAGATCCAAGAGGTTTGATCTGCACATAGGACTCTTTTCTCAGCATTTACAAAGTAATTAAGAACTCCCACACAGCAAAATAAGCGTTGTGTAGTGACCCTTCTAGCGGAATGAAGTTAGGGTATCTTACCCAAATCCATAGGACTCTTCCTTTACTGTCTGTTAACACAAATGGGACGTCATTGCAGGATTTCTTGGCAAAAGAGCCACTTAACAAGAACAGACCCAGGAGTTCCTCGTAGAGCCAGAGAAAAACCAATCCACTTGGCCTGCCTTTAGCTTTTTATGATTTCACTACAGTTGCCCTAGTGCCTGTTCCTTGTCCACACCTATTTTATTTTATTTTAAATAGCAAATTAGGTTCCCCTTTAGCAATTAAAAAAAAATCATTTTATTGGGGGCTCATACAGTTCTTATCACAATCCATACATACATCAGTTGTGTAAAGCGCATTTGTACATTCATTGCCCTCATTCTCAAAACATTTCCTTTCCACTTAAGCCCCCGGCATTAGGTCCTCATTTGTTCCCCTCCCTCCCCGCTCCTCCCTCCGTCATGAGCCCTTGATA